GGCTCTTCTTTGTACTTTTTCGACTTTATGAATGTTAGTTTGAGTAAATGGATCCCGGGTCACTGCAGCATAATCAAGTATGGGGAGGACTATCGATTTGTAAGCAAGAACACGGACAGATGGAGAGGAGAGTTTCAAAGTCTTTCGTAAAAAGAACAGTTTCTGATTAGCCTTGGAAGTTACTATGTTAATGTGTTTTGTCCAGTTAAGATCATTTGTTATCCATAACCCAAGATACTTGTAGGATTGAACCTCGGAAAGAATGGCATTGTTTGTAAAGTATTGAAAATTTAATTTGTTTTTCTTATGAGAAATGGACATGTACACTGTTCTTTCAAAATTGACAGACATTTGCCAAGCCTCGCACCAGGGAACAACCTTGTTAAACGACTCATCTAACAAAACTTGGTCCTTTGAGGATTCTATTTCAGAATAAATAACACAATCGTTCGCGTAAGCCTTATATTTACAGGTATACCGTTTACTATGTCGTTAATATATAAAATAAATAGAAGGGGACCCAGAACCGACCCTTGGGGGACGCCAGAGTCAACGGAAACCCTGTGAGAGGAATGATTGTTAAAATCTACAAACCGTTCTCTGTTTTTTAAGTAGGCCCATATCCATTTAATAAGTTGATCATTCCCGAGAATTTTTCTAATTTGTATACTAATTTATTATGCGAAACCTTGTCAAAAGCTTTTGAAAAATCTATAAAAATTGCATCTGCTTGTTTTCCATTATTAATTGAAGTAGCGAAGGCGTGTATTGTTGATACCAATTGTGTCAATGTTGAAAATCCCTTCCGGAATCCATGCTGATGTTGGTTAATATATTATGTTCGTCCAGAAAACATGAAATACTATTGTGTATAATGTCTTCCAAATGTTTACAAACGGTTGAAGTTAGCGAGATGGGGCGATAATTTTTGACACTCTGTTGCCCGATTTGTGGATAGGCTTGACTCTAGCTGTTTTCCAGTCGTTTGGAACCTGGCCCTCACGCAGCGATTTTGTAAAAAGAACATGGAGGTATTTCGACATCCATTTAGTGTATCTCTTTAAGAACGCACTAGGGGTATTGTCCGGTCCAGAGGACTTTGTGATATTAAGGTTCACAAGCAGGTTCAATATGCCCTGTTCACTAACAATATCGGGCATTCGCGGCGAAACAGTTTCAAAGATCGGTAATACAGAGTTGTTACAAGAAAAAACCAATTTGAAGTGATCGTTGAAAGCATTTGCAATTCGAGCAATATCGTGCGTAAGAATACCATCGACATTAAAAACGTCACACTCTTTCGAAGCGGGTGAAATGCTCCTCCAAAATTTCTCGGGACACGAGGTCAAGTAATGCGGCAAGGATTCCCCAAAATAACGCTGCTTATCTGTTTGAATTTGATTTTTCAGTTTTACTGAAAGCTTAGCTATTTGTTCTGAATATGCTACGTTCAGACTTCGTTTTTTCTTTAGATGCTTTATTTGCCTTCTTAACCTCAGTGTTATCCGAGAAATCCACGGATTTTTTCGCTTCGATTTTTTTAATTCCCAGAGGCACAAATGACTCAATGCATTCTTTTGACAATGTTCTTAAACCAGTTCCATAAATTATGTATATCAGTTTCATTTATTTGCAAAGTTATCAAAGTTGAATGAAAGGAGATCTATAATAGCAGTATCATCTGCACGACCGAAATTAGGGAAAGATAAACAGGGCAATGTATTATCGAACACTGTATCACTTAGAGTAAATAGCACTGCATGATGATCGAAAATTCCCGCATATATCTCAGTCGTTGCTTTAGGTGTAATTGCCTTGTTAACGAAGAAAAGGTCTAGGGTTGACTGAGTGGTCCCTTAAATTCTTGTGTAGCCTTCAACTAGCTGAAGGAGGTCAAAAATGTAGCAAATATCAAGCATAGCTTCACCCGAAGGGTCGCACTGCTTCAAGGCAAATTTTTTCCAATCTACATTAGGTAAATTATAATCACCTGTCATTATAATCCGGTCATCATGCTTAATATTCAGTTTCAAATAGTTTTTCAATTCATTCAGTACGTCAACAGGAGCGTTTTGGGGCCTATAAACACCTCCTATAATGTAACGGACATCGTTGTGTTAAGCCTTACAAAAAATACCTTCTACTCCTGGCTTATCAGCCATTCTACATATTTTAAGGTTATCCTTGAAAAGTACACAAACGCCGCCGCCGCCTTTACTAGCCCGGTCATTTCTGTATGCGCTGTAGCCAGACGGAACAAATTCACTATCAAAAACAGTCGCTTAGCCACGTGTCCGTCAAGACAGCAATAGCAGGATCATGAGAAAGTAATAATGCCTCTAATTCAGTGGCCTTATTGAGAGCGCTCCTACAATTTACATTTAGTATTTTTAGTGTGCCATAGTGCTTGTTTTTGTGTCAATTAGATTTTTTCTTCAGCCGATAGCGTGACCCCTTTCCTTCGTCCCATGCAAACAAGTAGTCATCGACCTTAAGCTTATCATAAACTAGCTTTGTCTTACAGAACGCAGCCTTTCTTCCTCTGAACTTTTCCACAATTGCTTCTGTATTTCTCGAACTCGTTCGGAAAAGTCTTCAGACAGGGACAATGTGCTTCTCTTTAATTTAAATGCACTCGACAAAACGTTAGTTTTTTCCTGGTAATCAAAAAATTTTATGATCACAGGTCGTGGCCCGGCCTTTGTTTTTTTGCCAAACCTGTGACATGTTTCAATGCCTGTTACCATTATTTCCAACTTCTGCTTAAAAATATCTTGCTCTATTTTCGCTTTCAGGTCCTCATACTTCTCGTCAGGGGGCTCCTTTAACCCGTAAATGATTAAGTTATTTCTGCGGCTTCTATTCTCAAGGTCATCTACTTTGTCAATAAGTGTTGATACCTGCTCTTCAAGCTTTGATGTTGACACCTTCATATTCTCAACGTCGGTAGACAAACTGCTAAGTTCATTCAATTTCTTTTCGAGGCTGTCTATACGATGTGCTAAACCTGAAATTCTTTTTTCAATCTTTACTTGCGATCCCTGAACGCGTTCAACGACACAACTAAGCTTCTTTTGTCCTTCCAACAGTTCCTTCAACATATCTTCGTTAGGAGGCCCTGGGTTTGATTCAATATCCCCACATGCCAAAAATATCCCTTGATAACAGAACAACACTGTTAAGAAAGCAAAGAATACACAGTGGGCAGGGCAGCAGCACTAAAAATCGGTCATCACTACGTATACAATAAGCAAGATGGTGATGACTAACCTGAAGCACAAAGCAAAAAGGATTGCTCAGCATGTTGCCTGTTGTGCTGCAGCCATGGCCACTGGCGAACGACGGAACCGGGGGAGCTTTTTATAGCCCTTGAATACGGCACGTGATGTGATGTCACAGTCGTAGATAGCCACGCTGGCACGATGAAGTGAAGTTCAGCTGTGTCACACGTGTTGTTCTTGACATCCGCCGTCCATTGCAGAGCAGGCCCCGGTCCGTGTTGTGCGCATGCCCTTTGGAGATAGTCTGGTGCCAGATGGATACCCAGAAAAACCTGAAGCACAAAGCAAAAAGGATTGCTCAGCATGTTGCCCGTTGTGCTGCAGCCATGCCCACTCTCTTCGTGCGTCCTCTTTGTGTATAGGAATTGGCCAGTATCCGGAACGCAGGTCGAGACTTGAAAAGTATTTCGCTCTTTGTAGAGAATTAAGGGCGTCGTCAATGCGTGGCATTGGGTACCGATCCTTGTGAGTGATCTTGTTTAACGCTCTGTAATCTGCGCAAAAGTGCACGGAGGCATCCTTCTTTCGAACCAGAATCACGTGTGACGACCAAGGGCTAGATGGTGGGTGAATTACCTCCTGTTTGAGCATACCAGCTACGTTTTTTTTGATAATTTTTTTTTCAGCAAGAGACACGTGGCAGGGCCGGCGGCGTACAGCACATGTTTCGAATGTGTGGATTCGATGCTATGTAGTGGTAGTCTGGCCCAACGTTGAAGAGTAAACATTGAAAAAACTTGCATGTTTCTTTAACAAAGCAAGCAGCTGTTGCGTCTGTGAAGGTTTCAAGTCGGCGCTTATGGCGGCAGTAAAGGCGAAAGAAAAAGCTGGCTCACCACTAGGGAGGTCGCTGGGGGAGACAGCATAAAGTGGCATGACACAGGCAGGCTCGGGATCGGTCATGTAGGCCATCGCGGTGTTCTGAGGAAGTAGAATTCTTTCGGATGTTGTATTCAGGGCGGTGACAATCGCGGAACCATTGAGAAAACTAACCACACCGAAGGCGAGAACGATGTCTTTACCGACGCAACTAAAGGATGGTGAGACCGAGACGTCACCATGGTCAATGTCTTTGGAGGTAATAGTTAAAATTCGCTCTTGACGTGGTGGTAATTCGGTATTTTCCGCAGCTGTCAAATGAAGTGGCCTCTATGTGTCGTCGTTGAGCGTGAAGTTTGTGTCAGTAAGGTGGATGACGTGTTGGCCTCAGCCAATAGCCGCGGAGGCAGAAGGAAAATCCCATCCTAAAATTAATTAGTGAGAGCAGTCGGTCAGGAGGGCAAACTGAATGTGATGTTGGATACCATCAATAAAAACACATGCTGTACAGAAAGCGGAAGGGCGAATGGTACACTCCTGGGCAGCAACCAACATGGGTCCATCGTGAGGGGTCATCACTTTCTCAGCACACATCACCAACACAAATCAACGCACATAACAGAAAATGCTGCGCTTGTGTCCACCAGAGCAACCACGCACACTCCTTCCACTACCACCAAATTCATATTGCACCGGCCTGATCACTCTAGCATTACTCTAGCACTCTAGCTTTACTTTTACGATGCGTTAAATTATTTTTCTAATCAATCTCGGCATTACCAAGTATAAAGTTACAAATTACTGTAAAAAAGTATTTCGCTGTTCAGGAATCTTTAAGATGCAGACCTGTTCTATAGAGGTGAAAAGAAAAAGTGCACTAGTGGCCGCCTGTGTGTGCAGGTGCTCGAGTGTGGCTTTTCCTTGGATTCGCCCTTGGCTTCGGCTCGCTCATTGCATCGTGCTGGATCTTGTTTGGCGATTACGTGACACAAGGTGAGTCGTCAGACATTTTGCTGAGCATGTAACGATCGATATCATGTGCACTCGTTACTGTTACGCTGGTTACTGTGTGTTCACTGTGGTGCAGCAGTGGTTAAAGTGCTCAACTGCCGTCCTGAAGGCCGTGGGTTCGATTGCGACTGTAGTGGTTGCGTTTCGGTGGAATCGAAAGAGGCTCCAGTACTGTGCGTTGTCAGATGCTTGAAATTTCTAGAGCCCTCCACTATGGCATCTCTCATATGGTGGTTTCGAAACCTAAAACCTCTTATGTTATGCTTACTATTGTGGGACATTCGGAAATTGATAGTGGTTCAGCATTTGTACCAGTGGTTGTTATCAAGCTGTAAAAGAGATGTTGGGTAGGGAAAAAAAAAAGTTGTGTGTGTGTACTATGAGTGTCAACCTTCCATGTAATCTGTGATTCGGTGTTGGCCCGAAAAACAGCTTGGTGAGTCAGTCTACTGGGTATCTGGGAGAGATTCAGGCACATGCTTTCTTACTTATCACAGCCTGTAGGAAATGTAGTGAAGGGAAAAAAAAAAATATCCACGCACGGGCTCTTTTCAAAGTAGGCGCAAGCGTGGTCATCCCTATAACACTGTTTTTATGCAGTCTTCCATCTTTGTAGTGCTCGTCAACACCTAAACATCAATACTTTTACTTCCTCCGAAAGTTTGATATTGGGACAGGAGCTGTGACTAGGAGCGCCCTTGCCCATGTAAGAGAAATGGAGAAATGGTGGTGCTGCAATTGTATAGCAGGTGTCATAACTGAAAAAACATGTATAAATGTACTCGTGGATGTTTATCCTATGTACATAGTGGTATTGCCTTCAAGAAAATTTAGGCAAGCTGTAATACAATGTAATTTAGCATTGAACGACGCCTTGGATCTAGAAATTTTATGGTAAGAAATGCATGCTGATTTGGCTGTGCATCCTGTAAAAGCATGTTTCTCTTGTGTTCCTGAAGCATCTAGTGGCAATCTGTGGATGATTCAGACTTCTTCAAAGACTCTGGTGGATCTTTTAATGCATCGAGCAATTGCAGTGTTTGCAACTTCTGACCGTGCATGTCAAGTCTTTCAATCTGTACATCTTGTAATTTTATACGATATCTTAAAATAGCCTTGTACTTATCCGACAAGCCTTCAGTTCAAATAGATCAGTTTTTAAATTTTGCAGTTCATGAGGAACAAGGGATACTTCATAGGGCTTCTCCCTAGATTTTGTACCTTATTTTGCATTGATTTATCATGGTGGCATCGTGCCATGTTTAAAGTTCAGTCAATCATGCAATACTGGGCCCTGCATTATTGGTTTTATAGTGAGAGCTTTATATGCCTCATCAAACTGAAAACTGACTCTATTCTGAATGTATATTAGTGCGACAAAAATGTGGACGGGAAAGAAAAGACAAACTACAGCGCTGACTCACAACCACGGTGTTAGGTGATGACACTGCGCTGTTGCTGCATCGAGATTATGTCTGCCGCTGCCTGTGCTGTTTCCCTTTGATGCGATAGATGGTGCTCATGGAGGGTGGGTCAAGGTGCTCACTGGGGAGCGATCCGATCTGCGTATAGATCTCCGATCTGCGATGTGCGTTCTCCGGAGCCTCGCTTTTTATTATGCTCGATATACACATGTACATGGATGTCAATAAATCAATAACTCAGCTGTAACGAAATTGATTCCCTAATTTTGTATGCAGTTTATTTGGTAATGGTGTTTTTATGATATAAATGCTCCAACAGCAGCTACATTGGCCTGGAAAGCAGTCGCATTTTGACCCAACAGCAATAAAGAGCTTGTTGCATTGAAATTATGGTGTCGGTAGCATCGGCAGCATCGCCAATGTTGGTGACATTTTCAGTTCAGAACAAAAAGCCGCATTGTCCGTGAGAGAAAATTTTAGGTGTTTGCAATATGGATACCAGCCCAAGGGCAAAGCCACATTTTGTGCGTGTATGTGGGTGGGTGCGTGCCTGCATGTGTGTGTGTGTGCGCATGTGTGCACGCGCGTGCAGATGTTGTTGTCGCATTCTGTTTTCTTAGCAAAATGAACGAAAAACTTCATCAGAAAACTTTCAACCAATATATCACAGCAGATACGTAATTAAGAACTCAAATCGACACGTTACCCTTGCCAATCTTGCTGTTAGCATCACGCAGATGACTCCATTTTGCATTCCAGCAGTGTAAGCTGCATGATATCTTGGGAAGAACTTCATTGGGTCCCGAAGTCCTAACCTGGGTTAACATACCACACCCATGTGGGGACTGTCGGGCCAGTGCCATTAGTCATCCTCACGCTATTTTATTGAACCGTGTAGACTTCAGCTTGATCAAGGGCTTATCAGACAGTGAAAATGACCGCACTACCTGAAGGAGTAGATTTTGTGCAGCTCGTCCCTTATGCCACCGAAGCGGGATGCCAACAATATTTGGCATTTGATGAGGCATCTAAGGCTATCTAAGGTCTTTGTGTTAATAAACGATGTTGTGTTGTAAGTACCATGTTTGAAAGTGCGCCTGTAATGTTGCAAGACGGTGACGATGAAGTGCTAGGGACATCCGAAGAACAAAAAAAAAACATAAAAAAACAAAAAAACTGGCCTGACTACATTAAGTATGGCAAAGTAATTATAATCATGTGAATATGGTGAACATTAAAAAAAAACACGGCTGCATCACTGACATAGTACGTAGAATAATTTCTGTTGCCTGTTTTTTTTACATTTAATTTGTTATGGTCCAAATATGCATAGATGAGGCAACTTAAAAAAAGTTTCATCTGAATTTAAAACAAGAAATTACTTTTCCAGCGTGATGAAAAACTGAGGCGATAGCGCATAGGCCCATGCTATCATTGTCTTGTTGAAAAGCATCCTCCTTTTCATGTGGAGGAGCCTGTCACTGCTCAAGTTGAAGCGCTGCCTTTTGCATGCATGCCTGTTAATTCGTCATTGCCGTGCTGATTCATCATCGCCATGCTGAAGACTCGCTGCCTTCACACGTAACAAATTTGGCTACTTTCAGCGGTCGTGTCAGGCACTTCGGATGCAGTTGAACCTTTTGGTTCTCGTCGCTTCCGAAAAGTCAGCAATAGATGGTTTGCAATATCGTCGCTTTCGAAAAGTCGGCAATAGTTTTCCTGTTTTTTTTACTGCACGATCCAGTATTTTGGGCAGCTTGGTAAAATGGCAGGCACAACATTTGAAGTGAGCATAAATTTCTTTATTGTGTGCAACAGGACGCTGCATTTGTATGGCGTTTCGCATTATATGTGTCGGAGATAGCTTCTTACTGGAAATGCTTTGCGCACATATGGTCAGTAAGCTGCAAGACTCCGTCAGCTCTCGTAATTGCCCATAGCCATTTATCCAAGAACTCCCATTCACGCGGAGCCTTGAAAAGCGACACACACTTCATACAAGTCCGATACCCCGACTTGAAATTTAGGGCAAAACACCACTTGCCCATTTTAAGCGAGTGACAAGGCTGCTGGTGCGCTCTCGTAGTCATATGCAGCATCTAGGTATACGTGCACTGAATCACAAAGCGCAAATCAGCTAAGAGAATGCACTGGCAAGGCTCAGAGGCACAGGGCAACGCGTTTCTAAATCACAAAACCCCATGCTCACAAAGCTTACGCGAAAATGTTCTTTTGCGCGCGAATATCGGAATGAGCGCCACGGGAATGCCAGGCGCCCCACACAGCAGTGCTATCTCAACTAGCAACAGGAACTATTCGTAGCTCAAGGTCATTGGGGAACACAATCTGCTTGTGCCCTTTACTCGCACAAAGAGGCACAAGCACCTAGCTTATTCTTACACCGTGTTCGCAACTGAAATTTATTCCAAAAAGAAGTAGAATACCTAAGTAACATTTGAAAAAGAAAAGAGAAGAAACAACCATTCAGGGTATCCTGCAGGATCCAAAAAAGAGAACCATTCAGGGTATTCTGCAGGATACAAAAGAAAAAAGCATTCAGGCTATCCTGTAGGGTACCCTGATGAGTTAACATTAGAGCCTGCAAGAAACTGGCAAAGAAAGTAAAGGCTGGGCAGAAGGAAATGGAAGATAAGGACATTATAACTAGAAAAAATTTAGGTGTGATTCCTTATGTACATAGGTTGTCGCATGGGATAAAAAATGGGGGTATTAGATACCAAGTTGATTTTGTATTCAGCCTTGGCCACAAGTTGGCCACGAAATCGCCCAATTATCCCATCTGATGTGAAAATTGACTGTCAACATCAGCGGTGTTCACACAGGTGATGCTCATCATCACGTGATGGTGTCGCCATATGACGTCATCAAGATGTTGGAGATTACCACAATTTGCGACATCGTCATGCCGTCACAGGGGATGTCACACGACATTGTTGCCTTGCATTGCCTCGTCGGGCCAGTCAGGGAGGCAGGGTAGGTGCAGAAAGGTCACCTATAATCCTGGAGGCAGGTCTTTAGTGTCAAACATCAACTGAAGGAGAAGAAGGTAGCCTTTGCCTCGAGTCTCTGAAAGTTATTCCCCTCTTTTGCAACTAAATTGTTCTTCTTTGTTTCTTGCATTTGTAAGCATCGTCGGCTTCGTCAGGTGTAGATTACATCTACAATTATCATGTCGGAACCAGGCTTGTTATGCACTAGCTTCACAGTATTCGAACCAAATGAGACAAGCCTTTGAAACTCCGACCTTGCGTTTGACAAATATACTAGAAGGCCATCGAAAGCTCTTGTCAGAGCATTCAGAAAAGGTTCCTGAACATCGCATCACAATAGCTCCGACGAGCCACTGGTCTGTGAAGACAATATTGCTTACATCAAAGGGCTTTTTGCAGTTAAGCACATGCAAGGAGTCAAATGTGAAGGCACCTGATGGTATGGCATGCTTTTATTTTTCCCACTGTTCGCTGTCTCGACGCAGCCAGAGCAGGGGACATTTTCAGATTCATTTCCGTTGCATCCTGATTGACACTTCTGTATACG